AAAGAAGATAGGCCAAGTAATGCTGTCTTCAGGAAACACATCTAACCTGCAAGGATGCATATAGACTAAAATAAAAGGGTGGAGATCAGTATTCCAGGCAAGTGGAAGCCAAAAGAAGGCTGGCATGGCAGTTCTAATTTCAGACGATTTAGTTTTTAAACCGACAAAAGTAGTGAAAGACAAAGAGGGTCATGATATAATGGTGAAGGGCACACTTCAACAAGAAGAGATAACAATTTAAATATATATATGCACCCAACTTAGTGCACCCAGTTTATAAAGCAAACCTTACTGGATCTAAGCAAATGGATTATAGCAACTCCATAATCACCGGAGATTTCAACACCCCACTGACGGCACAAGACAGATCCTCCAAACAGAAAATTAATAAAGAAATAATGGACTTAAACAAAACCTTGGAACAACTGGGTCTGACTGACATCTACAGGACATTCTACCCAAAATCCACTGAATATACGTTCTTCTCATCAGCTCACGGGACATTCTCTAAGATTGACATATCCTAGGACACAAAGTAAATCTCAAGAAATTAAAAAATAATAGAATCATACCATGTACCTTCTCAGATCACAGTGGAATAAAAGTAGAAATCAACCCTAACAGAAATCACATTTCTACACAAAAACGTGGAAATAACAACCTCCTATAATGATTACTCATAAATGAAGAAATCAAGATGGAAATAAAAAATTCTATACTCCTACACTGCTGTGGGACTGCAAATTAGTTCAACCTCTGTGGAAAGCAAATATGGAGATACCTTAAAGCGATACAAGTGACTCTACCATTTGATCCAGCAATCCCATTGCTGGCATCTACCCAAAAGATCCGATACACTCTACAAAAAAGACACCTGCACTCGAATGTTTATAGCCACAAATTCATAATTGCAAGGCTGTGGAAACAGCCCAAGTGCCCATCAATCCAAGAATGGATTAATAAATGTGTATATGTATACTATGGAGTACTATTCGCTCTAAGAACAATGGTGATATAGCACATCTTATATTTTCCTGGTTAGAGCTGGAACCCATACTATTAAGTGAAGTTTCCCAAGAATGGAAAAACAAGCACCACATATACTCACCAGCAAATTGGTATTAACTGAACAGCACCTAAGTGACACATAGGTACTGCAGTAAGGGTATTGGGCAGGGGGAGGGGGGCGGGTATATACATATATAATGAGTGAGATGTGCACCATCTGGGGGATGGTCATGCTGGAGACTCAGACTTGTGGGGGAGGGGGGAAATGGGCATTTATTGAAACCTTAAAATCTGTACCCCTATAATATGCCGAAATAAAAAAAAAAAAGAATACTTCCATCAAATGAAATACATCTGAAGTGATAGCTCACATGATATTTCATGGCCAGATACTACAAGCATTACTATATAGTTCAGAAACTAGAGAAGGATGACTGTTATCACCCCCACATCCAACAATTTTTCTGACACATCTAACCCACTGCAAAAAGCAAAAATGAAAAAGCAATGAAAAGTATAAATGCTGGAAAGGAAAGACAAATTTTACCTATTTGTTGATAATGTCATTAGCTACCTGGAAAACCCCAGAGAATCAAAATGAAAAGTTATTAGGATAAAAGAATATAAGAAATAGTTCAATTACAAAATAATTAAACAAAAGTCAGTAGCCTTTCTATATACTAGCAATGAATAGGATGGGAATAAATTCATAATAACCAAACATATAAAATATCCAGGAATAAATTTTAAAAAATACATATAACAAAGAATATTACAAAATTCTGATGGACATAAAAGACAACTTTAGTGTATATCAGAATCATCTGGACTTGTTAAAACACAGATTTCTGGGTCTCACCTCCCCGTTTGTGATTCAGTAAGCCTGAGATGTGACTTAAGAATTTGCATTTCTAACAAGTTCCCAAAAGATGCTAATACTACTGGTCCCATAACTACACTTTTAGGACACTCAAATAGAGTAATATGCTATGTAATATACATATATTTCCCACTTTATTCAAAGCAGAAGAGGATAATAAATTATAAACTGCCTTTTTTCTTATAGTTTATTTCTTGAACTCCCACTGAAGTACTGGATATATATTGCTATGCAGAGCAAGAAATGAACTAATTCATATTTAACAAAAGCACAAAAATAAACATCTGAGCTTGGATCTAGTCTTTTTTAGCCCCTATATACTGCATGCAACCTGCAGTCAAGAGGAATTATGAGTGACTGAAAACAGAGTCAATAAGTTTAAGACAATTGGTTACTATATTACTAGGGTAGTGATGGGGGACAAGATTTAACAAGATACAACACAAAGTAGAAGTAGAAAATAAAATATTTAAAGCTATAAAAGTATATTTACCTCAAAACTTTATCTTGGGCTGCAACTTCTGCTTCTAAACTTATAATCTGCTCTTCTAAGATTGGGATACTGGCTGCCTGCTGTTGAGCAGACTCAAGGATAGAAACCTAAAACATAAAACAACTTTTACAGTACTTTCTTTCAGAAAATAACTTAATCTTGGTCTTTAGTTTTTTTCTTGTCAGAGAGGTTTCAATAGGACTCTTCAATCATTAGTCAAATGTAAAGCTCATCCTTTCTATTCCTTTGATCAACATTTACATGGGCATGTCATCATCATAAGCCAGTCTCAGCATCTAACCTCCTGCTATTACCCTCAACTTAATATCCCAGTATAACTGATTAGCTATTTGAGGGAAAAAATAGAATCTCTACTGATATTATCTAGGAAGACAGAAAATTAGAAATAAAATATCAAACTATTAAAAATTATGTAAGAAAATACTCTATAAATTTTATTATTTAAAAACTTAATTTTAGAATACATGCTTACTAGAGAAAAATCTCTAAATAATACAAAAAAGCACAGTAATCCTACAACCTTTAACAGAGTGCAACAATTACGGTAGGGTAGGAATCTTATAATCTAAACGGTGTGGAAAAGAATATCAATAAGAGAACTAATTATCTTAAAAAAAAAAAAAAAGTTTAGGATGTGAATGCATGAAGTACAGTAGAGGAGAGGGGTTAGGTCCTAGATGGAAAACCAGGGATATAGTTCAAAGTCTCTCCAGATAATAGTCACTGGTTTTCCCACTCCCAGAATACTAACAGCAAGGCAGTGGCCTACCAGAAAAGAGTTAGAAGGTTTATTATCTGAAGAAACTGAAAAAGAGAGGCTTGGGACTCTGGGACACTAGGTAAAATGGTGAGCAGGGATAAGGTAAACCTATAAACAAGGGGATTAATATAAAACCATCAGATTCCAGCTTACTAATCCATCTCATTTAGGGCTATCCCACAGGTGGGAAATTAGGGGTTTCTTTGCCAGCGAAACTTAACAGCTCCAAAGAAAAAGACTATCATAAACTAATACTTGTTGTGGGTAGTTGAGTATTTCCCTACAAAAGAACCATCCACCCTCAAACCATCACTCACAAAGGAAGCCCACTGGACAAAACTTCACCAATACATAGAGAACTTCGAAACAGCATTTAAATGCTTTTCTCTTAAATATAAATAGCCAAAACACTAATATCTAAAAAAACCTTCTAACATGAAAGTCAGAGATCCAAACAAAAGAAAAAAGAAGGTAGCAAGCAAAGCAAACATAACAAAAATTATTAAAATTTCAGAGTGCTAAGAGAGGATACTGAATCAGTATGTTACAAAATATAAAACAATCAGAGAATAAGAAAAAGCTTCAGAAAATGAAAATAGTATGACAGCTAAAATAAGAGATTCAATAAACGCGTAAAAAGTAATGTGAGGAAATCTCCTAAAAGGAATCACAAAAAGACAAGATGAAAAATACCAGAAAAAAAACTAGAAGATTTAGAGGACCAATTCAGATGGTCCAATATTCACCTAATAGGAAATATAGAAGAAAACAAGGAAAAAAGTTATCAAAAAGATTATGTAAGAAAAATTTCTAGGACCAAAAGACACAAGTTTCCAGCCTGAAAGGTCCCTTGGGTACCCAATATGAGTAATAAAGTGCTATAAAAGGACACATTGTTATGCAATTTTAAACATCTGGGCAAGAGGGAAGACCCTAAAAACTACCATAAAGTGAAAAACAAAGGGGAAAAAAATTACAAGCTAAGGAAAATGATTGACAATGGCATCAGACTTTTCAAAGCAGCACTAGAGGATGGAAGAAAGTAATATCCTAAAAATCCTAATATAAAATAATTTTCAACCTGGAATTCAATTATGAGTGGGAGAAAAATTAAGACATTTTCAAACAGGAAAGGAAGCAACTAGAAGATATGCTCCAATTATAGAAAGAATAAATTAAGAAAGAACATGGGATTCAGGAAACGGTAGATTCAATGTAGAAGAACATAAGAGAGAAGTTCCAGGATGGCAGCTGGACAGTAGGCCTGGGATACAAAAGGCTCAGAAAGAGCAGGATGTCAGAAGTGTAAATACAAACATTGCCAGTGGTTCGTATCTATAATCCTAGCACTTTGGAAGGCTGAGGTTGGAGGATTGCTTGAGGCCAGGAGTTCTGGACAAACCTAAGTGATGTACCGGTACCCTATCTTTATCAAAAATAGAAAAATTAGTCAGGTGTGGTGGCATAGGCTTATAGTTCTATCTACTAGGGAGGCTGAAGCAGGAGAATCCCTTGAGCCCAGAAGTTTGAAGCTGCAGCGAGCTATGACTATGCCACTAACCTCCAGCTTGGGTGACAGAGCGAGACCGTGTCAGAAAAACAAAAACAAAAAATATTGCTAAAAGGTAAATTATGAATATATTGATTGAGCCGATGGGGCTTTTCAGCAAAAGATTCTCAAGGTTGGCATATATGCAACATCAAAAGGTCAGACCTGCCCTAAAAAAGGTAGCTTCTCATTGTTATAATATTTAAACAATTTAGAAAATGCTGAGCTGGGGAGTAAAATTCCAATGTCTGTCTTACTGCCCAGAATAAATAACCACTGGTGAGTTTTTTTGTTGTTGTTATTTTTAGAGTCAGAGTATCATTTTCTCACCAGATTGGAGTGCAGTGGCACAAGCATAGCTCACTGTAGTCTATAACTCCTGAGCTCAAGGGATCTTCCTATCTCAGCCTCCTGAGTAGCTGGGCATGCACAGGCATGCACCACTATGCCTGCCTAATTTTATTTTATTATTTCTAGAGATAGAATCTCACTTTGTTGCCCAGGCTGGTCTGGCCTCAAGCTATCCTCATGCCTCCATCTCCCAAAGTGCTGGGATTACAGGTGTGAACCACCACACCTGGCCCTCTGCTGTGTTTAAAAGGGCTTTGGGGAAAGTATCCAGCCACTGTTAATATGTAATTTTCATATTACATGGCTGGATACTTTAGGCCTTGTATATTCTTAAAAAAAAAAAAAAAAAAAAAAAGGTCCACAAGACTAGTATTATTTCCTTTAAATAATTGAGTATTTATGACTTTAAAAAGAGAAATTATAATTGAAGAAAAATTTAAAATATGATTAATAAACAGAAAAGTTAAACAAATCAACAAAAAAATCTAAATAGCAAACAAATACACTGAAAAGGTAAACCTCATAAGAAATCAAGAAAAATAATATTTTTCCCTCAAAGTGACCAAAAAATGAAGAATACTTAATGTTGAGTGCAATAAATGCCTGAGAAACACTCTTTCCCTGTAATTTGGTCATTCTGCCTCTGGAAGGGTATCCTAGAAATAATCCCAAACACCAAAGTTGTTTTATGTTCATTGTTACATCTCTTCTCCTTGGGCTGAAATAATCCCTAATAGCAGTTTGTTTTCTTTGAAAGATATAAAAGAAAAATAAAGCTTATTCATAACTCTTCTACTTAAAACTATATATGTAATATACATATAATGTCTGTAAAAGAAAATAGTTAAAGCCCCACTCCAACCTTCCAATCCCTCTTGAAATTATCAATAGTATGGAGCAGTTTTCCTTTCCTTATATACATCATATGTATATCTACACACAAGCACAAAAATATTCTTGTGCACACTTTGTAAAAAACAAAACAGATTATAGGTGTGTACTGCTCTATGTTTTTATACCACTAAATATATTAAATAATTTTTGAATGCTGATTATATAGACTATTCTGCTTTTACACATATCATTTTAACCTCATAATGATTCATATAAGTCAAACAACTTTGCAACTTAGTACTGATATATTTATCTCATTTTTTAAAAAAAGGCTTTGTTGCTATCCATTTTATGAGCATATCATAATTTACCATGCCTATTGTTGGCTATTTTAGTCTCCTCTCTTATAATTTTTTGTATGATACTAATCATACAGCAAAAAATAGGACACTACCAAAATAGGGGAATTATTAACTAAGTTACATTATAATCACATACTGAAACATAAGGCTACCATAAAAAATGATCAATGAAAAAGCTATGTAAATGCCTCAGAAAATGCTTAGACTATATATGAAGTAAAAAGAAAAAACAAAACTATTTAAAATAGTCTGGATTCAAATATATAATAAACCAGTAAAGTGGTTTCTAGATGGAGGAAATTCTGGGTAGTCTTTCTTCCTCTTTTTAAGTTTTCAAAGATGAGAATGTATTATTTTAAAAAGGAAGATAAATAAGCTATGCTTCCTTTATGTAAGAAATAAAACCACATGCATTGGTAATCTTCACTTTAAGAAGCTGACTTAACTAAATGCAAAAACTATAAAGTTCCCCTAAATCATTTTCAGATATAAAATTCATATAAAATTTCAAAACATGTTGATACTATAGTATATCATAATAAAAATTACCATACATAACACACTAAGGCAATATAAGGAATATTTTTCCAATTATAAATCTTAAAATTATTATAACTATTTTCTGTTGGCATACTCATGATTCAAGATACATACTTTGGCTTTTGACTGTGTCAATTCAAAGTGGATAGATTCTATTTTAGTCATTAAAGAATGATTCTGTGTGACCAAACAAGCATTCTGTTGCCTAAGTTTATTAAGTTTCTCTCGAAGGCTTTTAATCTCCTGTTCCACAGAGGTAAATGAAAATGACACCTGAAAAATGAAAAAGAACAATCTATTTTGAATTATTTCAATTAAGGATACATGTAAGTAATGGGAAATGATGAACAATTATGAATAAGATGACTAAGCAGCTCAGAAAAAGAGTTAAAATATTTAGTGAGTGCTGACAAGAACATGTGAGACAATCAGTACTCTCTCCTCCACTGCTGGTGGGACTGTACATAAGTATAACTTGGAAAACAGTAGTATGCTTTGGAAAACTTGGCATTATCCAATAAAGCTGAATTTGCTAAGACCCAACAATATCATTCCTGAGTATAAATCTGATAGAAATTTTTGTACTTTGCAACTAAAGATATTACACAAAAATATTCATAGCTATATTGTCTACAAGAGACAATAAATGGAAAGAACATCTGAGTTCAACAAATGGATAGTAGATAAAAATTCTTTAATTTACATATTTTTATTATACTTTTTATGTTTTATAATAAATTTTAACTTTCATGAAGGTTACACTTTTCAAAACATTTAATTAATTTTAGTTTTCTGAGTGATATATTTATGTAATTCAAAAGTCAAAACAATATGAAAGTATACACAGAAGTCTCCTTCCCATCCTTAGTAGGTAGGTAACCATTTTTGTAAGTTTCTTGTTTAATCTTCTAGTGATTCCACATGCATACACAAGCAATACAAATTACTCGTTTCCCTCACATCTGTAAAAGCTAGTATATTATATATACAGTTCTGCACTTTGCATTTTACTTGAAAAATATATAGTTTCTCCATAATCAATACATTGAGAAACTCATCCTTTTTTTTCTCAACTGCAGAGTTTTCATTGCATGAACCATTAGTTTATCCAAAACTACTGGACACTTGATCTATTTCTAATCTTTTAATGTGACAAGTCAGGTGTACCTGTGGGATAGTTCTCCAGAAATGGAAGTTCCAAGTCAAGGTAAACACTTTTGTAATTTTGGTAAATATTGCCAAATGCCTCTTCATGGTGTTACATCATTTTCCATTCCCACTAGGCAATTTATGTGCCCCGGAATATCGCCAATGAAATATATTGTCAAATATCTGGATGCTTAACAATTTGACAGGTAACAGCTGGTATTTAAGTATAGTTTCACTTTAAATTTCTCTTAATATAAGTGAGATTGGACACCTTTTCATTAGTTTGAAGAGCATTTTTCTTTTCCATTCATGTCTTTTGCCCAGGGGTTATTGATTTTTTTCTTCTCACTTTGCAGGAGTTCTTTACATATTAGAGAGATTAGCCCTTTGTCTTTGATATGCATTACCAATACTTTTTTTCCCTATTTGTAATATGCCTCTTGATTTTGCTCATGGTAAAACACAATGATTTGCACTAGGGTATGTATACAATAAAAATGATCAGCAATGTGAATTAGGATAGAGATCAAATTTCTCTGCATTACATACTCTTTGCAGGCATGGAATTTGAATGTATTTCTAAAATGTAGGCTCAGATAACTTCATTAAGCGGCTTCCTATCCAGCAATCCCACTACTGGATATCTACCCAAAGGAAAAGAAATCATCATATCAAAGATACCTGCACCCTGTGTTCATCACAGCACTATTCACAATAGCAAAGATATGGAAACGACCTAATATCCAGCAACAGATGATTGGATAAAGAAAATGTGGTATGTATATATACACAATGGAATACTATTCATCCATTAAAAACATGAAATAATCTCTTTTGCAGCAACATGGATGGAACTGGAAGCTGTTGCCTTAAGTTAAACAACTCATACACAGAAATTCCTCATGTTCTCACTTATAAATGGGAGTTAAATAATGTGTACACATGGACATACAGTGTAGATTAATAGACACTTGGAAGGGCAGAGGAGTGGATGATGAGAAATTAATGAATACAATCAATGTACACTATTTGGGTGATAGATATGCTGAAATCCCCGGCTTCACCACTATGCAATATGTCCATGTTATAAAATTGCACTTGTACTCCTTAAATTTATACAAAAAGAAAAGCAGCTTCCTAACATAAAGAAAATCTCTTATTAGTTGGCTTTCTGAAAAGGAAAGATCAAATTTGTATCCAAAAAGTTTACGCTGTGTATATACTATCATATCTGTGTATATACGTATAGAGAGTGGGGGAATAAAGAACAGAAAGGAGAGTGGAAAGGGAGGTAAAAAGGTTGAGTAAGGAAGAGGGGTAAACACAGGTAGACAGATAATATAATAGAATAAGAGGGAAAGAGTTCCAGACCAGGAAAAGATCTCTAACATCATCAACAAAACTTAGGGATAATGAAAAAAGAATAGTGCTATGCTATCAAATAGTACTGGATCCAGGCCAAACAATGGGTATACTTTAACTACTTAATAAATAATTGGTGATCTATTATGTACCGTATACAGTGCTAAAATCAAGGGGATTGCAATTTACCTCAGAAAAGAAGACATTTAACTGCAAAAAGGTAATCAATATAGATATTTAAAAATAGAGTAATACACCAAGATAACTACTTTCTTGTTAGGACATAAAAAGTACAATTATATTTATTCTTAAAAACCAAAGACTATAGAAACATGAATAAAGCACTTAAAAACTGAAAGAAAAAATATTTTAAGTAGACAGATCTAAAACTAAAACTACTTTTAAGTAAGTAGGTCTAAAAATAATAACCTTATCTCTTGGCTTTTTCTGAAAGTCAGTACTGCTACCAGACATTTTACAAACTTTTTTATAAGGTGAATAATTCAAAAGTCCAGGGTGGCTAGGCTGAATAAGATCTTCCAAAATGGGCCCTTCAGACTTTGAGGGATTAGAGACATAATCGGATTTTTCACTTGGACTAACACTAGAGAAAAAAGAAAAACATATTTTAGTTCTTAGATAGTTTAGTATTCATTACAAATTGCTACACATTAAATTAAAAACAGAAAAGAACCAGAAATGCTGCTGACAATTAGATTCATAGTTATGAACATAAGGCAATGTTTATAATAAATTTTAAATAAACCATAACTAGTTTTAAACTAGCAACCTATGAATTTCCAGAGCCTCTACGCTAGGATTACTTAGGATTCAAAAAATAGTCATAATAATAAAAGACTAACAAATCCCAAAATATATATTTTATACTCTGAATTCTAATACATTAAAGGTGTTTTTACAAATATAAGTGCTACTCTAATATTCCTATTTTTCTCTAACCTGAGAGTTATATTAAAAGTACAGAGGCCGGGCCTGGTGGCACCAGCTTATAGTCTCAGCTCCTCAGGGGGCTGAGTCAAGAGAATTGCTTTTGCCCAGGAGTTTGAGGCTACAATGAGCTATGATCACACCACTGCACTCCAGCCTGTGTAGAGTTAGAACCTGTCTCTAAAACAAAAAGTATAGGAAATTATTTCTTATTCCAGAGGCATATTAAAACCACAATATATAATAATGAAATCTATACATTTTATATTCATAAATTAAGTCATACTCTGAATTCTGTATGTGATTAAACTTACTTACATGGATAACTCTTCCCCTAAACTTTGCAAACTCCATTCTGTTAACTTCAGTTCATGTCTTAAGGAAGCAACATTTGCAAGCAAACTTTCTTCTTCATTGTCTTTATTATAGTAGTCTGAAGAACTAGATTCCATTTCTTAAAAAAAGAAATTAATTTTTTATACCTTGCCTGAAAGATTCTGTTGTGTCAGTCAAAATACTCTCACATTAATAGAATTTAACTCATTATTCTCCTATTTCAAATGCTGTGAAATCTTTCATGGTGGTTTAAAGCAAAACAAAAAAACTAACAACAACATAATTCTCTGACATGTAAAGCTATAATGGAAAGTTAATACAATTTCAGTGGATAAATTCTGCATATTAGCCATGGTCTAGTTATTATAGTTCCTCTTTTCCAAGCATATTTGATCTTCCTAACCATTGTGTAAACTAAGTATTTTTATTCCATGTTAAGGAAACTAAGAATCAAATAACTTGCTTAAAATTATACAAACTGTAAATAGTGACATCAAGATTTGAATTCAGGTCATCAGGATCTAAAAACCTTTTAATTATGTCACACTGTACTTTTCTAACTTACTGTTATACATCAATTTCAGTAAGAAGTGTTTCAACTTTCACAATCACATTACAAGCTCTGCATATCTGATAAAATGGTATCATAACAGTCATTCATATTTTCTTAGAAGGAAATTTACTACCAGATAAAAGTTATCTCCTCCTCCCATTTAAAATGATTATAAAATTTTAAAAACACTCACATTTATTAGTCACAACCACAGGGATCAAAATAACATTTGTCAGGTCAATCATAGAAATATATGAAGAAAAGTTTTTGATTCTTCAATGGATGATTATCTCTAGGGTCATGAAACTCGCTTCCAAATTCCTTTGCACATAAAAAAAATCATGATAAAGCACCACTTTCTAATTAATACAATTAAAAACTAAAGCTTTATAATCTCTACTATCCCTATATATCTTTCTGCATAATCTTAAAACTACATTTGCCTTTCAGATCCCATTTACATTTTTCATTGTAGCATCTTTCATCGTCCTTAGAATTTTGACATTCCAAGCTCCAGAAGGTTAGGAGTCCTGTGCATTATGTTTAGGACTATAATGTACTTAAAGAAGCTCAATATTTTGAATGAATACTAAACTGTCCATTCTTCCCCTCATCTGGCTAGAACAGTATGCTACATTTATTTCCCACTCAAAAATTCTCAGATGTAGGGAGGAAGATTGAAAAGAATACTCTGATCTTATCAGAAGAAACTGTGGCAGAAAATTAAATAAGATACTATGTACTCTTAATACACAAATTGTTTCTATTCTCTTTCCCCTTTTGTTTCCACAAATTTGCTTCTGCTTAAAGTGAGAAGACTCTCCCAGACAAAAGTCAATGGATCAGGTCCCCATCCTGCTCTATCTATTCCACGTCTCTAGCTCCCTGTACAATAGTGAAGGAGAAAAGGGGAGAGAAAATTGGGCAAATTCTAAAATGCCATTCAGTATTATGCTGTTGCCACTCGACCAGGTTCATTTGCCTGCTGCCCAAGAAGCCAATATGCTGAGTCAACAGAGTTTAAGGCAGAGAGTGAGCATTTGGCCTCATGCTAGGCTGGGAAACAGGAGAAATTTCTCAAATCCGCAACTCCCGCCCACCCCCCGAATTTAGGAGACAGGGCTTCTAAGGATAGTTTGCTAGGCCAGGGATTAGGCAATCTGGTTTTTTAATTAGGGCAAAATTATAGGGGTGTACGAATCATCTTGTATTATTTCAGTCCCTGGGGATTCCAATTCCACTTGAGTCGGTTTCTCGAAATGGTCCACAGGACTGGATGGGTCAATCAATCCCGGAGAATGCAGGGCCTGGAAGAGATCTTAGAAACTACCTTTATGTTTCAAAAAGGTGATGTTATCTTTACCATTATGGGGAGAAGTTAAGAATCTTTATGACCACCAGCTGTGTGGCTCCTGGAGTGGCAATTAAAGGGGGACAGTTACTAATTATTATCATTATTTTTAGCTAGGCCTTTACCACAGTTCTCACCTTGCAACCCATTATTGAAGGGCGGTTTCAACGTTTCATCCTAAATCAGGTTTTATGTTCAACATCTGAGTGTTTTAATGTAAAAATTCTCTAACTTTTCTGAAGTAGCAATGAATACATTTGATATTTAAATATTTGATATTTAAATATTTCCATTTTTCTAGTGGGCCATTTACTGTCAAATAATGCTTACTCCTCACTTCAATTTACAGTAGTTGTAAAAGCCTATCTTCATTGCCCGTAAAGGCACATCATCCTACTTACAGACCCTAACAGTGTTATCTCTGAGCCCTAATTAACAATGCGTTTGTAGTTTCTCACACGCATACCCATCACACGAAGGACAAATGTTCTTTTATACCCCGTATGCGATAGGATGGGCTGTAGCCGAAAAAGATCCCTCATTTTGAAAAGAGGCCTATCTTTATACAGTAGTCTCCTGTCTCAAGAACGCTCAATGAAGTGGAGGAAAACTAGACATCCTCATTTTCAATTTTTCATCAGATAAAATACAACCCTGCAGAGCAACATACCAAGCAACCGTGAGGACCAGGCGAAGCGCAAACACGGCGTCCGGAGGGAAAAGAACAAAACTCCCCGAGGTAGGTCGGTTTCCACTCGCAAGGCGCAGTCGCTCACCATCCAAGTCGCAGCTGTGAAGACACTCAAACGAAAACCACGAACGCCGCACTTGGAAGCGTCGGACCGTCTCCCAGGCCTCGGGCCACCGAAGCCTCAGACACCCGACGCGGAGAACCAGCGAACCCTGGCCGCGCAAAGTTCGAACGGCGGCGGGAGCCGTTGGGTCGCACCTCCCGGGGCACAACCCCGCCCCCCGCGCAGCCTCTGTGTGAGGAGACGCCAGAGGCGCGGAGCCTGCTGGGGATGGTAGTCGGCGAGCGCGTTTACGCCCGCTCGCCGAGCTCACCCGGGACTACATTTCCCACAATTGCCGCCATGACGCCCATGGGTGTGGGGGAAGGAATGGGAACCTGCGGCCGTCAGGGTGCGAGGCGGCCGGCCCCCAAGCCAGGCCTGAGGGTGCCAAGACTGAGGAGGTTGCCGAACAAGACTGCCGGCCCCGCCCTCAGTCTCTGTCCTTTCGAGGACTGCGCTTCCCCTCTGAAGGGAGACTTTGCCGCCGCCGCCACCTCCGCCTGGAGTTTCTTCAGATTTCAGTTTCCCTGCCAACCACGAGGAGTCCAGGGAAGAAGAGCAGAGCAGAGACGCCAATATACACCTCCCACGCCGCTTTCAGCCCGAGATCGCCCCAGCAGGGATGGGCGTTAGGATCTGGTTGCCCTTCCCCGTGCTGCTCCTGGCCGCTCTGCCTCCCGTGCTGCTGCCTGGGGCGGCCGGCTTCACGCCCTCCTTGGACAGCGACTTCACCTTTACCCTCCCGGCCGGCCAGAAGGAATGTTTCTACCAGCCCATGCCCCTGAAGGCCTCGCTGGAGATTGAGTACCAGGTAAGTGCGGAGGTGGGCCAGCCTCCTTCCTTTAGCCCAGATGCTCTGCCTGTTGGCCTCTCACGCTTCCTGTGGACGGCCGGGTGGTGGGCAGGCGAGGGCGGCCGGGGGAGCGGGCCGGCTCCGCCCAGGCGCGCGAGGCTCCGCGAGGCTCTTGCCGGACCCGGAATCGACGACTACCGGCGGTCTCCCCTTTCCTCCGGTCGGAAAGAGGCCAAGAACTGGTGATGTCGGTGGCTGTTCTCTGTTTCATAATTCGCCCATCACTTTTCTAGCCAGTAACACGTTCTGATACTGAGAATTTCACAATACAGGACTGATACACGTTCTCCTTCATCATTGGGCGAGGTGATGACACTTGTTTGAATCACTGCCACCGCTTTCACCCAGTTCCAATATTATAAATCTACACTGTCTTTGCTTCAATTAAGGATTTTTGTAAATTGTGCCTGTGTAATTATTACCAAACCCAATTTTGAAATATTTTGAAAGAGGCTGTTGGTGTATTCAATGGTGCATTTCTGTTTTAGTTATATACCCATTATTTTCAAACCAAGTAAGATCAAATCCTATATTAAAACTTTATAACATTTCTTTCATTGAGCATCGTATTTGCCTCGTGTCTTTTTTTTTTTTTAGTATCTGCATAATACTCTTGGGGAATTGCCTTATTTTATGTAGTTATTCTGGTAGGGGGTAATTAGAAGAAATTTTGTTAATTCCACAAAGCTAATTTCGATGTTTCCAAGTAGCAGTGTAAAAAAAGATGCGTTGATGTGTTTCCTCTTTCAGTTTTTTCACAGGTTGCTTAATTTTTAATCAAATGTTAATTTTTTAAAGTTGATGTAGAGAATTTTTTTAATACCAGGTACTGTCACAGAGCAAAATAAAAAGCTATATAGAATTTTTATCTGAAGGAACTTTAGGATTCGGTTACATATAGATGCATAAGGGAAATACAGAGAGTAAAGTATCTAGTCTCATAATGAGCAAAACTGAGGCTAGAACTCAGCATTTCTTGATTTCCAGTAAAGTTCAAAAGTTCAACATTTACCAAAGAGTTAATATGTGCCATGAATTGTGCGAGGGGAATAAAAAAGAAAGAAAGAAAAAAAGAAGCCCTCTTCTCAAGGAGTTTAATAAGTATTACTGGTTCATATCTAGGTTATTTCAATAAAGTATAGTTAAGTGGTAGTAGAGGAGGGTCATTTCTATGGGTTTCAGCAAAAGATTCCTGGAGAAAATAAAATTTAATCCAGAAAGATGCTTACGTGAGATAGGAATGCAAGGAACAAGGGGCATTTCAGGAAAGGAAACAAAATGAATAGACACATAGTTCTGAAAATGCACAGTGTGAGTGTTTGGGGGTGGGTAGTATGTAACACTGAGTTTTGTTATACTTTAAGACTGTAAAGCCTAGGGTGGGAGTGCCAGTTTTTAACAATAAGAAAAATTCGGCCAGGCGCAGTGGCTCCTGCCTGTAATCCTAGCACTCTGGGAGGCGGGCGGATTGCTCAAGGTCAGGAGTTCGAAATCAGCCTGAGCAAGAGACCCCGTCTCTACTATAAAGAGAAAGAAATTAATTGGCCAACTAATATATATAGAAAAAATTAGCCGGGTATGGTGGCACATGCCCATAGTCTCAGCTACTTGGGAGGCTGAGGCAGCAGGATTGCTTGAGCCCAGGAGTTTGAGGTTGCTGTAAGCTAGGCTGATGCCATGGCACTCACCCTAGCCTGGGCAACAAAGCAAGACTCTGTCTCCAAAAAAAAAAAAAAAAAAAAAAATTCATTGGCTCATATAACTGAAAGTCCAAATAGATAGGACAGATTTAAGTTTTCCTCTGGTTCTCATGCCTCTGCCCTCTTGAATTTGCTTAAAGAATTTAGTTGCTTAAATAATTCTTTATTGACAGATTTTTTTTTCCTCAATGTATCAAAAAAAGTATTAATATTTTATTGTCTTCTACCTTCCATTATAGTTGTTGAAGATTCCTTTCATTTTGTTATATATTTTGTAGTTCATCTCTATTTTCTCTTGTGTTTAAATCTTCTACTCATGCAGTTTCACCACAGTTTGTCTAATATAGAATTTTAACTTTATTCTACTTGGATTTTTTAGTGCTACTTGAATCTGAGTTTTCAGATTTTAATTCAAATCTTTCAACAAGTCTGGAAAATTCTTAGCCAGGTGTGGTGACTCACACCTGAAATCCCAGCTCCTCAAGAGGCTGAGGTGGGAGGATTGCTTGATGTCAGGAGTTTAAGACCAGCTTGGGCAACAGAGTGAGACCCTGTCTGTTCAAAAAGTAGGATTACTGGATCATATGGTAGTTCTATTTTTAGTCTTTTGAGGAACCTCCATATTGTTTTTCATACTAACTTTCCCACCAACAATATACTAATTTACATTCCGTTTCTCTGCATCCTAACTTATTATCTTCTTGATAAAAGCCATTCTAATTGCAATGACTAGAAGTTCTATTTTTTTCTTTTCTATGCCTGCCTGGTTTTCTAATACACTTGTTCTTTTCTCATGGTTTTCTTTTGTGGTTTTTTTTTTTTAATTAATAGACTTTATGTTTTTGGAAGATTTTTAGATTTATAGAATAATCGGGGACACATATGCCTCCACACTGCCATATATTAATAGTTTCTTCTCTTATTAACATCTTGCATTGGTGTGATACATTTTTTATAATTGAAGCAATTTTGTTACATTATTATTAACTACAGTTCATAGTTATTATACATTAAGGTTCACTCTGTGTTGTATTATAGAGTTCTATGCATCTTGCAAATGCATAATATTATGTATTCACCATTACAGTATCATACAGAATAGTTATACAGCATTAAAACTCCTGTGTCCCACCTAGTCATATCCTCCTCCTTCAAAACTGAACCCCTGGCAACCACAGATCTTTTTTCCTTATATCTGTATTCTCTGTTCTGTGGTAATAATCTATTTGTCAGTTCTTTTGCCAGTACCACACTGTCTTGATTATGATAATGTTATACTAAGTCTTGAAGCAGGTAGCGTCAGTCCTCTAACTTTGTCATTCAATACTGTGTTGGCTATTCTGGGTCTTTTTGGTTTCTATATAAACTTTAGGATCAGTTTGTCAATATCCACATATTTTGGTAGATTTATACCTATGTATTTTTTCTTTCTTTTAGCGTTACTCAAAATGGTATTATATTTTTTATTTCCAACTCCTATTGCTTATTGCTGGTATATAGGAAAGCAGTTGACTTTTGTACATTAATATTGTATCCTGAGACTTGGCTATAATCACTTATTGCTTTTTGGTTTTTTGAGGTAATTCTTTGGGATTTCTACATAAACAATCATGTCATATTTGAACAAGGAGTTTTCTTTCTTTCTTCCCAATATGTATATCTTTTATTTCCTGTTCTTGCCATATTACATTATTAGGACTTCCAGTAAGGTGTGGAATAAGAGTGATGAGAGGGCCGGGCGTGGTGGCTCACGCCTGTAATCCTAGCACTCTGGGAGGCCGAGGCGGGCGGATTGCTCGAGGTCAGGAGTTCGAAACCAGCCTGAGCAAGAGCAAGACCCCATCTCTACTATAAATAGAAAGAAATTAATTGGCTAACTAATATGTATAGAAAAAATTAGCCGGGCATGGTGGCGCATGCCTATAGTCCCAGCTATTCGGGAGGCTGAGGCAGCAGGATTGCTTGAGCCCAGGAGTTGAGGTTGCTGTGAGCTAGGCTGACGCCATGGCATTCACTCTAGCCTGGACAACAAAGCGAGACTCTGTCTCAGAAAAAAAAGAGTGATGAGAGAAAAGCGAGAAGAGCATCCTTGCCTTGTTCCTCATTTTAGGAAGAAGACTTCTAATTTCTTGTCATTAAGTGTGATTTTAGCTGTAGGATTTTGTGAGTGTTCTTTATTGAGTACATTCCCCTCTGTTCCTAGTTTGCTAAGTGTTTTTTAAATATCATGAATTGATAATTGGATTTTATCAAATGTTTTTTCCCCATCCATTGGTATAATAATCTGATTTTTTTTCCTTAACCTGTTAATGTGATGAATTACATTAATTGATTTTTGAATGGCGAACCAACCTTACATACTTGGAATAAATCCATTTGGTTATGGTTATAATTCTGTTTATACACTGTTGAATTAGATTTGCTAATATTTTGTTGAAGATTTTTGCCTCTGTGTTCACGAGAGATACTGATTTGTCGTTTTCTATTCTTGTAATGTCTTCCCTGATTTTAGTATTAGAGTAATGTTGGCATCATAGAATGAGTACATAATTGTTACCTTAGCTTTTGTTTTCTGGAAGAGATTATAGAGAATTGGTATCATTTTATCTATAAACCATCTAGACCTGGTCCTTTCTTCTTTGAGTCCTTTTTAAAAAAAATTATTGATTCAATTTCTTTAATAGATATAGGCCTTATTCACATTACCTATTTCTCCTTGTATAAGTTTTGTATCTTTCAAGGAATTGGTCTAGTTCATCTAAGTTATCAAATTTGTGGGTATTGGTTTGTTAATATTCCATTATTATCCTTTTAATGTCCATAGGATCATTAGTGATGATCCAGCTTTCATTTCTAATATTAGTGATTAGTGTCTTTTTTTGTTGGTTTGCCTGGCTAGAGGTTTTTCAGTGTTATTGATCTTTTTCTAAAGAACCAGTTTTTGGTTTCATTGATTATTCTCTGTTGATTTCTTGATATAAATTTCATTGATTTCTGCTCTAATTTTTTCTTCTTTTTGCTTTAGGCTTATATTACTCTTTTTTCTCTAGTTTCCTAAGGTGGATGCTTATATATGGATTTTAGATCTTTCTTCTTTTTAATGTATGCATTCAGTTTATAATTTACCTCTAAGCAGTGACTTCTCTACATCCCACAAGTTTTAAGTTGTATTTTCATTAAAAAAAAAAATGTGTTTTTTTTGAGACAGAGTCTCACTCTCTTGCCTGGGCTAGAGTGCCGTGGTGTCAGCCTAGCTCA